TCAGGTTCGACATCACGCTCTCCTGCTCTCCTCCGTAGGGTTTCACTCCTCTGCTCAAACTGCCAAACGCGCTTAGACAGAGCCGTGCATTTCTAATTCTGATTAATCTGTTCATTGGTGCACATTGTTTGGAAACCACATGCAGCATCTCTGGTATATTTTGCAAGGATATAGAAGGGCCCAGAAAAAGAAAAGTATCGCTACGTTTCTGAAAAGTTCCTAACAAACTTCCAGGGCAGGTGGAGCCCGGGGTGGAAACCAGTGTGAACTGTGTGAAGGGGGCAGAGCCCCAGGCTTTGCACTCATCCTTCCGGATGCCCTTTAGTGGCTGACCGGAGCTCACCGGTTACACGTTTCCTGTTCCCTTCCTGTCTCTCCCTCCCGGGCTCTGTCGCTGGCTTTTTCTCACCCACGTCTCCGAAGAACATGCCAATTCGGTCTGCCAAGCCTTTGTTCTTTCCCTCCAGAATATTCCCAGACAACCGCTAACTTCGAATCTCCTCTCCCCATCTCTCTGGCGGCCCTGCCAGACATCAGCGAAAATCAAGAAGGTAACAGGCTGCGCGGGTGGGTCTGGATCAGCCTGGGGATGGTGGATCTGAATTAATGGTAACCACAACTCACTCACTCTCAGGAAGCAACAGAGGTCCTGTTCAAAACAAATTACATGCATTAACTTATTCAATCCCTGGGACAATCCTATGATGTCGCTACTACTGGAAACCCCATTTCACAGATAAAAAACTGAGGCAGCAGAAGGATAAGTGGGTGAGTGTCCAAGGTCACGGAGCTGGTGAGTGACAGGATTTGAACCGGGCAGTCTGGGTCCGGAATCCAAGCACTTGGTCACTGGGCCAGGCTGACTGTTGGACAAGTTCAGCAGAGGGAAAAGACTGCCCTTCTGTGCCCGGAGTGGAGACCAGCCTCTGGTCAAACCCAGACTCTGTCTACAGTTCCCCACCTGAGGGCCCCCTGGACAGGGCTGGCAGGCCAACCCCGGAGTGGTAAGCTCTTATTTATGACTGCCCAGCTAAATCCATTTTGTCTTCTTCTGGGAACAGCACCCTGGGAGTATTCCTTGTGGTAACTACCCTGCCCATTCTCAGCCCACATGGCTCTGGCAGGGTCAACCCACCCCATGAGGCATTCCCCCAGGTCCAAGAACAGGCACGTGACCCAGACCTGGCCAATCAATGCAGCCCATCCTCCAGGCACAGCAGTGGATTTAGTGATAGGCATTAGGAGAGTTAGCTAATGGCAAGCACTTTAACACCAGAGTGGCTCATCCCAGGACGTGCTGGACTGGACCACACGGCAGAGTCGAGTCAAACCCAGGGCTCTCCGGCTCCAAGGCGCTGGGGCCCAGCCCTGACCGCTCCCTTAGGATGCCCCCGGGTCATGACTGCTCTTAGCGCAGCAGGGACGGGCTGTGCTTGCGCCTTCCTCTGCCACAGGACAGCCTAGGGGGACACCCCTACCAGAGCCCTTCCTGCAGTATTCTAAAATTGCCGCTCTGAGGGCAGCCTCCCCCAGCAGACTGCGGGGCTCCTGTCCATCCAGCCCGACACCCCCAGCCCTGGCGGCAGTCTGAAACATACGTAAACTACCTCAAAAACCCGGCCGCCTGATACCAAAGCCACTAGCCACGTGTGGCAGTTGAAATTCAAATTAAGTAAAAATTTGAAAAGTCAGTTCCTCGCTGGTACTGGCCACGTGTCAAGGGCTCAGCAGCCACACGCGGCCACGAGCGGCTACCATATTCACAGGGTATCGCCCATGTCCACATCACAGAAGGTTCTGCTCTAGGACAGGTAGAGCCTCTAGAAAGGTGAGCAGAACTGGGGAGAACGGGAAGGGGAATTATTCTTCGCAGGTAATCTTTAGCAGTACTTGAGTTGTTTTTTTTTTAATCACATCATAAGCCATTTTCTATGCAAAAATGACCACTTTTAAACTTTACGTAGCATTTGTAAACTTTCAGCTCATTTTTAGACCTGTAAATACATAGGTCACACGAGAAAAGGGTGTTGGAATACCCCAGGGTGAGTTCGTGGGTGTCTAAAGCCTGGAGCTGTCTGCTATAGGAGCACAGAAGGGCCTCTTTGGGCAGGTGAATGAGAAAGGGCAGCATGCGGGAGGGGGGCTCCCGATCCTGATCCTCCCCCTCCGCAACCTCAGGGTCCTCTGGCTGATTCGCATCCCAGCCCACTTTCAGTTCCTAGGGCTGCCACACCAAATTGCCACAAACGAGGTGGCCTAAAATGACAGGACACGGATTCTCTCGCAGTTCTGGGGGCCAGAAGTCCAAAATCAAGGTGCCACCAGGGCTGGTTCCTTCCGAATCCCCTCCGCACGCCCTCTCCAGCTTCTGGTGGCTGTGGGTGAGTCTTGGCCCTCCTACATCATTCTCAGTCCCCCCAAGGCCTCCACTGTGTGTCTCTGTGTCTCAAATCTCTCCCTTCTGTCTGATAAGGACACTCATCATTGGACTTAGGGCCCACCCTGAATCCTGGATGACCTCATTCAACCCTCTACACCGTTTTAAGATGAGAGGTGCAAGGCGCAGGCCCCTCCCTTGTCTGAGGCCACAGGGCCAGCTCAGGGCACAGCCCTGCCAGGCCTCCTGCCCCTGGCGCTGGCAGGAGGCCTGCCCCCTTCTTGGCTACACGGCTCCCACTGAGGGCCCGCTTCACAATGGGCAACACAGAAGAGTCTCTCCCTTCTCTGGCCTCGCTTATCTGTTTTATCAGCCCTCCTAGGATCTGACAAAAGATCTCACAGTCTCCAGGCCGTGAGAAGGAACTGGGTGGGCAGGGGGGGGCATCTGCAAGTATCTCAAATCAGATGGGGCCCCAAACTACAGAGGGCAGTTTGCAGGTCCAGACTCCAAAAGTCTGCAGGGCAGATCAGAGCATGGGAGCAAGGGAGTCAGTTTGGCTTCGAGTCCTAGGAAAAAAGACCTCTGTCCTTTTTATGACAGGGAGAATGTCCAGCCTACAGGATTTTGCATCGATGAAGGTCTCTGGTCCAAAGGGCTCAAGTGAGTCCTCCAGCTCGAGGTAACAGAGGGAGAAAGCAGGTGTGGACATGGGTGTGCATCAGGGCCTGGCCACACTGGCCACATGACCATGCTGAGGACACCTCCCAGGACAGCTTGAAGGCAGCCATGAGTCCCTCTGACAAGAGAAGCACAGTGCCAACGCCCAGCAGGGCCCCCCCTCCAGTGGGACTGGGGGTCCTGACCAGCCTTTCAGCCCCCAGAGTCTTCCCTGGGACCCTCTTGGAGCCTCTGTTGGTGGTTCAGGAACCCCCAAGGGAAGGCAGGTCACAGGACTGTCTCTGGGTCATGGGCTTTGACCTATACTCAAAGACAAATCTCAAGCCTATGGAGCCCACTCCCATATTGTTATCCATTTTCAGTAAAGACCTTGAGAGTTAATAAGCGGCAGACCAAGATCTGGCCCTGGCTCGGATTTGTTCAGGGCAGCCCCTTCTCCTTCTCTCCCCATCATCTGTACCTAGGACTTTCAAACTTCCGGTCAGCAACGCATAGCAGGAAACGCATTTCAACCACCATCCAGGTCATACACTCCAAATATAAATAGCTCAAACAAAAACTTCACTCCAATGTGTCTTTATTCCAAACCACAGCTAGTTCAAAATTTCCAAAAACGCTGGCTGCAACCCATGGAACTGATTTCATATCCTACAAACGCTTTGTGACACCCAGTTTAAAAAATACTTCTCCACATAACTCACATGAATTGATATCCATACAGCACTAAGAAAGAGGAGGAAAAAAAAAAAAAAAACAAAGAAACACAGGAGGAATCATCCCTGTTCTATGTATTTTGCAGATCGTCCAAAAACTCATCTGTGGATCTGCTCCCCCCGACCCCACCGCCGCCCTTTGAATCAAACGTTTGACTTCTGCTGACTCCTGATCTGCTAATATGATGTCGTTGCTTGTTGAGTCCTTTTTCCTCCTGTTAAAATGTTGGAGGTACTCTTGAAGACTAACTCAAGCTGGCCCATAAAATCCTCCCCGAGTGAATTTTCACACCGCGAGGTTCACCTCTGCAGAGATCCCAGGGCATCTCCCAATACATGGAGATGTTCATTTTCCAGGAGCTTCGTGTCTTGGCCGGCTGAAGTGGACTGAGAAAAGCCTGACACTTCGGCTAGTGGATGGAGTGATGGCAAGGACAAGGGCCCCGGGGCTCAGCTCCTGTGTTCTCCACCTTGTCCCGCATGGTGGGGAGTCTAAGAAGTATTGCAATTTTCAACTCATTCACCGGTAAGGTACGACACATTGTTCGATAGAGGATAATTCTAACCCAGAAAATTCCAGAGCCAAGGCCGCAACACCTAAATTCTCACTGATAGTCTGTGCAAAGCTCCCATGAGGATCATCAGAAGGCCTGATCAGACTCAGGATTCAGCCACGAGGATCGGGAATCCACAGATCCTGGTCTGATTCGCAGCCATCCTGGCTGCACCACCAAAACCCAAGACAGACGTGATCATCTGAATCATTCCGACCACGTTCCCATCTTCCTTCCTCTACCTCCACCTGAAGAAACCAAAACCGAAAAACCCTGTATTCACCAGCTCCCTTATTCGTCCTGTCATGTCTGAAATAGAGCTGGGGTTGCAATGTTAATACCGTGCGGATGGTCGAGGCCTGTTTCTCGGTCTTTGAAATGGGACGGCTGTTACTTTCTTAATCTACGCCTTCATTACAAGTCATTTCTAACCGTTTCTAACAGACCACCATCCTCATGAAACCAGGTCAGGTAACCTTGCTAGAATCTTTGACTGGTAAGCTGGTCAGGGAAGACATAGGAAGAAAGACCCCGGGTGGTCCACGAGCTACAACAGACAGCCTGAAACCCAGGGCCAGCCTCTTGACCACGTGCTTGGCAGTTCTGAGCACACAGGACACAGGAGGCCTGGCCTCGGGAAGTCAGGGGCCCCACAAGGATCAAACATCCACTTACCTGGTGGGCAGACACAGGCAGTCGGCGCTTCTCGGACTGTCCGGTGCTTGGCCAGTCCCTCCAACTTCTGAACCAGAAAGAAAAGAGAAGGGAAAACAAAAAAACAAAAAAAACGAGCATGAGTTTGAGAGCGGACAGGGGCAAAAGTGGAAAAATCAGCAAACACCCATGTATCGGAAAGATTGACTGCGGGGCGGGCGGGGGTGGCATTGTGGGACATATTTTTTCTTTTTTTTACAAGGGGGTTCAGTGCTACAGATAGTTTTAGTATGAGAGGAGAAACAAAAATAAACGTGCAGCGATCACTCAGGAGTCCCTGAAAAGACGGTGGCAGGTTTCTGCTCTGTTGCAGCATTTTTTTTTTAATTTTAAAATTTTTTTTAAATGATTTTATTTTATTATTTATTTGAGAAAGAGAGAGCATAAGCAGGGGGAGGGGCAGAGGGAGAGGGAGAAGCAGACTCCCCGCTGAGCAGGGAGCCCAACGTGGGGCTTGATCCCAGGAGCCTGGGATCATGACCTGAGCCGAAGGCAGACGCTTCACCGACTGAGCCACCCAGGTGTCCAGTTACAACACTTGCAAACATGAATCCAGAAAAGTCAGAGTGACCGTGTAGTCCGTGTGAAAAGTGGAGGGCTGAGCAGAGGGAGGCTGGGCCTTGGCAGCCAACCCTTGGTCCTCAGATTGGATCCGAACCCAGGACACCCCGGGCCCGCTTGCTGCAGCCCCCGCAACCCATGGGGCCTCAAACGCCAGGCCCAGACCTAATCCGCCCTGATGACATCTTCCTTCCTTCTTACCAGCAGGGATCCTTGGCCTGGAAAATTCGGCTCAGTCCATTTAACAATGGACTGTGCTACATTTGGGGGAAGGGAAAAGAATTACCCCGGAAATAGGATCAAACATCCCAGCCCTGCTATTACGCTAATTCAAAGTACGACTGTGGCATAATCATCACCTGATGGACCAGTCAGAGCAAGCTCAGAGGCCCGGATTGCCGTTCCTGCCTCGCACATAGGGGGCACGCTTGGAAAAAAAAGAAATTAGTCCCCAAGCCCAAATCCAGGTTGAGGAGAGTGAACTGACAGGCCCATAATCCCCAAACAAATGAAGACTTGAGTCCTAACAAGAAAAAATAAAGTATTAACCTTTCCCGAGGAAGCAAACACATAAAAGGAAAATCTCCCTCAAAGCAAAACAAAACAAATCCCAAATGGGATAACTTGAGTGACAAAATGGGAAACTACCACCAGAAGTTTCCAACATAAAAATGTAATCTTTCTGGGGGTGCCCTGGGGGGCTCAGCGGGTTAAGCGTCTGATTCTTGGTTCCAGCTCCGGTCATGATCTCAGGGTCGTGAGATCCAGCCCCACGTCAGGCTCCGTGCTCAGCACAGGGTCTGCGTGAGATTCCCCCTCTCCCTCTGCTCCTCCCACTTGTGCTCGCTCCCTCTCTCTCCTCTCTCTAAAAATAAATAAATAAATCGTTTAAAAAATGTCATCTTTGTCCATAAGAATAAATAAATAAAAATTTAAAATACCTTGACAGCAAGCGAATAAAGCTGTTGTTTTTAACTTTTTTAAAAGTCATCTCTGTGCCCAGCGTGGGGCTGGAACTCACAACCCTGAGATCAAGAGTCACACGATCTACAGACTGAGCCAGCCAGGAGGCCCCCGCCCCCCGAACTGTTATTTTTAAAGCATTGCTTTAGAGGAGGTGCCAAGAGCACCCCCAGTCTTGAGCCCCTGAGCACCAGGCCTGGAGTTTGCACAGGAGAGGGGACTCCGGCCGAGCTTGGTCGGCCTCTGGCTGGAGCAGCCCTGGACCGGGAGCTCAGACCACCTGCCAGCACTTCCAACCGCACCCTCATTTTACAGATGGGCCACAGCGGCTGATGCCCACCAGAGGTGGGGTGAAGGCCTGCAGGTTTTGGGGGAACACAGGGACTTGGGTATGCACGCCGGGCAGAGGCTGCGTGGCAGGAGTACCACAGACAGGCAGGGGGCGGAGGGTGCTGCCTTTAGGTGCGCTGACTTGTCCATCTTCACTGCACCTCCCCCGCCCTCCCCCAAGGCCTCAGCCTGCCCCAGAAGTCAGGACCTGGCTAGGCTTCTGGACGCAGGCTCCCAGCTCTCAACTGGACCCCTACCTGTCATGCACGCCTGCTCTGGAGCACCTGGCCCAGAGTGACCCTAAGAGCAGCCCAGGCAGCCCCAGGCTCCAGAGGCCCCCAGAGCTGCCCTGGGTGCCCCCCCCCCGGGGGTGGGTGAGAACAGCTCCACTAGCAGCTGCAGACAGCAACCCCCCAAGCCCTACAACCTACCCGCCCCCCAGCACCACCCCCAGCTGGGCGGGCCCTGTAGCCCACTATCCTGATCAGAGCATGGATGCTGCCGGCCGATGCGGATACAGGCTGGAGCGGGATCTCAGAACTCACTTTCTTCCCCTCCCACTGTATTTGCAGAGACTATTACAGATTTCAAAATGTACACGGCAAACGAATCCAGCCTTTGTCGTTTAAGCCCGTCAGTTTGTGCGAGACGCTCTCATCTGTTTTTATCATGGCTAGACGGTCTAGAAGCCGCACTTGCTTCCTTGTTTGGAAACCAAAGCATTTAAGGCTAAAAACCAATTGGCTTTTAACAGCTGATCACATCTGGGCCGCTCTCCTTAAAGGCAGGGAGGCTTTATCAAATACTGATAGGAAGCACAATTACTTCCAAACTGCTCTTATCGTAAAATAAAAAACTAAACAGGAAACTATGCGAGGGGGGAATAACCTCATTGTTAATGCTAGTAGGTGAGGTCATAACGTAACGGGACCGAGGTTTTGTTTGGTCGCTGACTCTAACTCCACCTATGCAGGTGTTTCTCTGGATTACGCGGTGAATCTGCAGTTTTATCTGCTAGTCCCCTGCCCCCCCATCCTCCCTCTCCAGGCCCCTAACTTTCTGTGGGTTTGAAATGCCACTGCTATGAACACCTTTTGAATTAGAAACCCAATCCCACAATCTTTATTTCCATGCTTCGCTTTTTCTTCTCTAATTCTAAGAAAATATTCTTTTGTGTCCAGGTTTGTAAAAATGATTTAATGGCCTCAACTTTTTTTTTTTCTTTTTGCCTTCAATTATCTGGCAGCACCCCTCACATCTGCAAACAATATGGTCCTGGTTTTACATATGCAAAGAAGTCCTGACTCCAAAAGTAAATAAAGGAGGAGTTTTTAGAGAATAGACCCTGAGACTTTGGGAGCGTTCCCTCCACCAGCTACGGAGGAGGAGAACTTGAAGTTTGGGGTGGGGGAGGGGCAGCGAGCGCGGAGGGGAAATCGTGGTTCTCAGAAAAGCATCACACTGTTAGATGATAAATTTACTGATGACCTGTGGGAGCACCAGTCTGGGACGCTCCGCCAGATGTTTGATCACAGCCTCGAACGGGTGCATTTTGATGAAATGTAGATTAATACACGTAGAAGGATGTCCCGATTTATTTCTGTAAAATGGGACAAATAAGGCCACAAAACCGTTCCTATCCTCTTTGACAGAAGATTCCTGCTCTCGGGAAGAAATCTCAGGAAAATAAAAATCAGCAGGAGCAAAGAATAGTATGCATGAAGTTGCACCCCTCACCCCCAAACAGTGGGAGTGGTTTAGAAAAGGATGGCCGACCACCCCCTGATGAAACTGTCATGTTTTGTGAAATGTCATTAGGAACACCATGTAGCAAGGGGGGGGATATTTATGATATTATAAATAAAAGGTCTATATCTGTGTAAAAATTTAGGCATGGGATGGCAGCAACTACCAAAACATGAACCCCCCTGGGTGTTGAGATTATGGTGATTGACTTCTTTAGAAGTCCTTGCTGTGTTGTCAGACCATCTTCACAGTTAAAAAAAAAAAAAAAAAAAGCGTGGAAGTAAAAGAAGAACCAAAATGAAGCCCTCAAGTCTCCCCACCGAGGACAATTTGTGAATGATGGACAGATGATTCTAGCACCGCAAGTACCATTTTACAGAAATAATCCTCTGGCCTCCTCCCGCCCCCACAGGGAGGGGCCCCTGCCTGCATTGTTGATGGCCCCAGCATCCCAAGAGGACAGTGAGATCTGGCCTCTGACATTCTTTTTTTCATACCTCATCATGGAGATGAGTAGGATAACAAACACAAAGTATTATTACTGAGTTACTGATTACTTATAATGGGCCAGGCACTGTGCCAACAGCTGTTACCTCATTCAGACCTGCCAAGACCCCCCCACCACCACCACCACAAGGTGGGGACTATTATTATGCCCATTTACAGGTGAGAACATTGAGGCTACAAGGGGCGACATCAGCATCAGGGTGGGACTTGCATCCTGCTATATCAACCAACTCGAATCACAGAGCATGGCAACCTCCACTTACAAGCGATCTTCATATCCCAACCAACCAACCAAACAAAAAGTTGCAATCCACCACCAGGCCAGACAGAACGAAAAGGGCAGAAATCAGATCCGGGGCTGCTGAAGATTGAGGAGTGTGAGGCGTGAAGTACAAGGACACACAAGGAGACAGTGTGAGGCTGATGGAACTGATCTGTATGGCACTGAGGTGCTGGATACACAGCTCTGTGCATTTGTCAAAAACAGTAAGACTGGGGCACCTGGGTGGCTCAGTCGGTTAGGCGTCTGCCTTCAGCTCAGGTCATGATCCCAGGGTCCTGGGATCGAGTCCCTCATCGGGCTCCCTGCTCAGCGGGGAGTCTGCCTCTCCCCCTCCTGCTGCTCCCCCTGCTTGTGCTTTCTCTCTCTCTCAAATAAATAAATAAAATATTGGAAAAAAAAAACCAGTAAGACTGGACGTCACAAAGAGTGAACTTTAACGGATACACATTTACTTTAAAAATCAACCAGGGTATCGGAGAATCCCTGGATGAAACGTAGGCTGTGATGAATGAATCTAACTACGTTAAGACTCTGTGAGATAACCTTGTGGCAAGTGGTGGGGAAAAGCATGCAGCTGACCTAAGTAACTTTGCAAAACAGTGTTTTGATTGAGAACTATCAGGCTGAACACAAAAGGA